CAAGAAATACAAATCATTTAAAAGGGTAACAGTGTGCGAAAAAGTACACGTCCCACCGTCCGCGACGTGTTATTTACAATATCGGACAAGTAGATCTGTCAATTGACTTGTCCGGCGGACAAGTGACGTTTATTGACAAATTATTGATACATTCAGTTTACAAAAGGCAGAACTCATTCGCAAATTGTCCGTGTCCGCCATTGTTCGTTTAGAAATGTTAGTTTCGGTTCTGCTTGTCGATTCCTAAGGAAATGCATCTCGCGCTTTCTGTACAGTTAGACGGGGGCGGGGCGGGAAGTGTAGCACAGTGGCAGGGTTGGGAAGCAAAGCTCGGTTCCGAGTAGGAACAAATAACAATTGTCCGGTACCGGGATTAATAAGAGTTGTGAGGACAGGAGGCGAGGCCGAGCCCCGCGGACCGCAGCTCTCTCATATGCTCCGTATCAGCTGATCGCTGCACGGTGCAGCTCAGCGTCACTCTCTCTTTCTAAACACAGCAGATCCGCTGCCCGTTTAACAGCCTCATCTTTGTCAAACTTTCTTATGTTCTTTCTCTAACACGTAATGAAGGTTATTAAGCGTTTTAGCTCCTGTGTTGTTAATATTGACCACCATTTCCTTTATGAAGTGAAGCAGCCTCCCTGTCTGTCCTCGCGCTCTCCTCACATCCCCGGACCCCCAGACTCGGAGGAGCACAGGGATGTCAGTATTGTTTATGAAGCAGGGTATAGAAAGTAGCTACATTATTGAAATGAAAATACTATTTATTTACTTTTACAAACAGTGAGCAGCTGGGCAGCTGCAGCATGTGTATTGCAGGACATGTTTTTGAGTTGTAGAAAAGCGCTAGGCCTATAGGCTATAAATAGAATGTATTATTATTATTAGGTTATGTCCTATGTGTTGGATATGTGTGGTTGGACTCTGTCTCACAGGCAGGTTGCAGTGTAACATCAGAGGAGACTGGGCCAATTGTACATTCTCAAACTGCACCACTTAGAACTAACTAAACAATGCATAGATTATTTTTATATAATTGTATTCAATAACTGTAAGAAATTAAACAGTATGAAGTGATTTGTAAATAGGAATACAGATTTGACTTAATGTTTTCATAAATATATTTTTCTCCCAGTTTGACTTATTTTTACCCTCTCAAAGAACCGGAATCGAGAACCGAAAATAACCAGAATCGAAAAGCAGAACCGTGATTGTTAAAATCCAAACGATACCCAACCCTTTGTGTGATGCAGTAAAATCCTACCGCTCACTTACGTTAGCGGTGTCATAAAAACCGTGAGAAAATGTAAAATACGATGACGAAGAAGAAGATTCCAGTGTGTGTGTGTGTGTGTGTGTGTGTGTGTGTGTGTGTGTGTGTGTGTGGCCTAGCATTACTATACTTGTGGGGACCTAAATCTGTTTACACAGTCACGTGTGGGGACTCGCCTCCCTTATGGGGAGAAATTGGAGGTCCCCATAAGGGGAATCATTAATTTTAGGGTGAAGACTTGGTTAGGTTTAGGGTAAGGGCAAGGGCTAGGGTTAGGCATGTGTTGGTTATGGTTAAGGTTAGGATAAGTCACCAGGAAATGCATGTAAGTCAATGTAATGTCCTCTGAAGTGATGTATACATGGTGTGTGTGTGTGTGTGTGTGTGTGTGTGTGTGTGTGTGTGTGTGTGTGTGTGTGTGTGTGTCTCAGAAGTCAGCACTGCATGCAATGTTTATCCACCACATATTGAGCAGTGCTGACCAGAAGGCCCCAACGGAACCATTGGACCAGCTGCTGTGATACTGGCATACACACAACACACTCAAAACACCTCACACACACACACACACACACACACACACACACACACACACACACACACACACACACACACACACACACACACACACACACACACACACACACACACACACACACACACACACACCACACAACACACAACACACACACACACACACACACACACACACACACACACACACACACACACACACACACACACACACACACACACACACACACACACACACACACACACACACACACACACACACACACACACACACACACACACACACACACACACACACACACACACACACACACACACACACACACACACACACACCACACACACACACATTCTCTCATCCCCACATACATCATCCTATGGCAGCCTTTCCATTTTGCTCCTCTCCTCCACCTTACGCCTCATCAGACATATTATAATTAGCCGTACTGAGTAATTAACATCCAAATTAGGACAATAATTTGCATCTCTACCCTCATTTGCATATAGGCCCGGCAGCACACAGACCTGAAATTCCTCCACACTCGTCAGCACAAAGCACAAGAGTGCTCAGTCTTTTTCAACACAATTGCCCACATTCAGGCAGACATTTTAACATTTCACAAACGTGCATGTTGTTCTACTCTGTGAGGCATAAGAGATTTAAAAAATAAACTAGAGAAAGTACAGGTAAGGTTTGCGATGGAGGGAGTTTGGAGGGAGAAAAGGAACAACGGGAGTGAAATTAGGAGAAAATCTGGACAGGGAAAGGCAGAGAATATAAATGGGATGGAGGAAGGTGTTGGTAATAGAGGTACCTGGGATGGAGTGGGAATGTGACACTCTCCAGATGAGGCAAAGACAGACAGAAAGAGGACTGCCTCACCATTTATACAACTCACTTAAGCCCATACAACTTTGGAATAGAATCCAGGGCAGTGGAGAGGGAAAGAGAAGCAGCTCTGGAAATCAGAATGAGGTTGCTCCCGCCTCTCTCTCGATCCCCTTCCTCTGACATTTGCCCTCTGAATAGCATCAGCCCAACAGAGCAAAGCAACAAACAATGGGAGAGTCAACGGGAGAGAGGGAGAGAGAGAAACATGGGAGAAAAGAAAAGAGAAAAAAGGGCATAAATGATAGTAAAGAGGAAAGGAGTGACAGGACGGGCCCGGACGTTCCTGCCAGACATTGTTTCACCAGTCATTGCACCGACGAGGAAAACCTGAGTTATGTTGCTGCGTTCCACATCGCCTTCACGATTTATCTTCCAGCGAGGATAATGCAGCTAGACGGCTCTGTTGAAAGACACCAATAAATCTCATCTTGTTTTCCATTTTTTTTTTTCTCCCTTTCAAATCCTCTTGTTTTGTGTTGCATTCATCTGCTCAGGTCTATTTCCTGACTTATGTAAAGGTATTCAGCGGCAAGCCTTTGTCTCGTATACGTACTGTATTCTGCTGAGCTTGTAGAGCTTGTAAATGCAAAATCAAAAATTCACTGTGTGTCTTTGTGTCTTTGTTATACAGCCATCCATGGCCTTAATCTATTCCTTTTTTTGAATGTGAAGAGGAAGTGGCTTTACTTAACAATACACAGGTTTATCAAACCTTATTAAATTACTATCATTCCTGACAATAATGATCAAATCAAATGCATCCATTCCATAAAATATTTGGTATAGGGATGTTTTCATTCTGTCATGATTGATTAACCTGAATATTACCTCCTGTCTGTCCAAAACCTAAAGACCTTCAATGTAATATGGCTGAAAACAGCATTTTCCACAATATTTCATGAACAATTATTAAAATAGTAGGCAATATTTTCTGTCCATCGAGTAATCATTGCAGCTCTAGTTTGATAACAATATACTCTGCCTTGAGACAAGCAGATTACGCATTGCATAGCTGATGACAACTGTCTGTAGCAATCAAAGCTGCGTTCACCCTTCACAAAACAGGCTCTTCTCTGTAAACTTGTCTAAACCTACTTAGCCTTCCCTCTGGCTCCCGGCCATATGGAGGTCTTTCATAAACAGGGGAAATTATTTTTGGTTAAGCGCAGACAGCCAGTCAGCCCCGCGCTCTCACTCCAGAGACCCAATTAATACCACTGTAAACTGCCGCTGCCCTTCATAGGCAACACCAGTCAGGTGTGTGTGTGTGTGTGTGTGTGTGTGTGTGTGTGTGTGTGGTGTGTGGTGTGTGTGTGTGTGGTGTGTGTGTGTGTGGGTGTGTGTGTGTGTGTGTGTGTGTGGTGTGTGTGTGTGTGTGTGTGTGTGTGTGTGTGTGTGTGTGTGTGTGTGTGTGTGTGTGTGTGTGTGTTTGAGAGAGGGAAAGTGATGTTTGAGAGCATCACAGAGTGAGGATGTGATTTAGTGCTACACCCTGCCCTCCCCGAGCACTCATCGATTATCTTAGAAATCATCTCCAGATCACTGGCCAACCAGACAGTCATGACCAGGAACATAAACCTCTGATATCCTCAATAAATGTCATATTAATAGTGTTAATCTTCAAGAGCAACTGGGGCATGCTATAGGTTGCCAAGTCATAATTATGTAAAGAATAGTTTCCTAGTAACCTCTAGGGGTGATGGTATTACTATTGAGCCAATATGTTTTTCTATATTAAGTATCATGCTATTATCAGAGCTGAACAATGTGATATAATTTGTAATTTTTCAAGTAAAATAACAACAGTTTAAATTGGACATTTGTGAGTACCTGCTGCTTTTAGTTGTCTTATGTAATGTCACATTTCAATACATTTAGGAGCATACGACGTTATCTTGGGTTGTAGGGAACAGTAATGGGTTAAAAAGTAATCTACTAATTTGTCATATTATTTGTATATTAGCCTCTTGGTGATCATTCATCAATCACAACACATTACAGTGAAACTACGTAGCGTTATAAGCTCCAACTTCCCACCCAGCTGAACACCTGTCCCTCTAATTGCCCTGTCCATCTTTACTTTAACTTTGAGTAACTACGCATTGATGCACGAGAGCAAGCTACTGAATATTATGTAAAACTTAACTAGAAAGAGACAAAAACACCTAAATGGCGATGAAGTTGTTGGACGGACTGTAAGTGCCCCCTTTCCAACTTGTGCAACTCAAACGCGAAAACGCAGTCAAACATATCGAAGACAAATTGTTTTTTTGTTCATCTTTTTCTTTCCCATGTTCCTACCTTTTCCGCCGAGAGCGCCGGAGTGGCCCCAGATGAGGCATAACAGCACAAAAGACAGCCCAAGTATCTGCATGGTGGTGGAGCAGAGTGTGTGATGTCTCCCTTCCTCTTCTCGTTCCAAATCCTATCCTCTCCCGAGCGCGAGAATGTTTTCAACTGTTCGGGTGCGCGAGGGACAGGTAGAGAGACAGCCACTGGGTGTTGTGAGCAGAAAGAGAGGGAAACACGTTCTACCATCGTCGATACAACACAGGTTCCGGTTTTTGGTTTTCAAAATAAAAAACAATTAAAAAATTGCCCTTTCAGGCAAAATATGTCCTTGTTTTGCAATCTTAACATGGCAGTAAATGAGAGCTAGAGAAGAAGCAAGAGAGAGAGATTGGAGGGAGTACATGGAGGGGATCTGTCTGAGATGAGTGTGAATTTGTGTTTGGTGTTAAGAGGGGAAAGGATTGATTTTGACGCCCCAGGAAGGGCAGCTGAAACTGAGAATTTCTCTACAAGAATACAGCTTTTCAATCAATTCAATAAACCCCAAGCTATGGCTAGGCATGGCTGTAAAAGCTAACCACATATCCTATAAAATAAAGCAATGATTACTTTATTATTGGAGCTAGAAGATAACAACACCTTAAGCACACACACAATTATTAGAACACATGGAACAGCTTCTTACTCAGTATTTTCCAACCTATTTGTCTTGGCCATTCAATCAAAGAGCAATGCCTAATACTTCCTCCTGAATATTTACTTTTGATGCTTTTGCAACACGTTGCTGATTTCAACTTTTCTTTAATTAAGGAGAAACTTGAACCGTGGATTGTTTTCATTTTCTCTCAGTGATAATTATTTCATAATCTAATGAAGCAGCTGCTACAGTATGATGTTTTCCCAGCTGTATCCTCCTAACAAGAGCCCGAAAAGCGCAGCTATACTCCCCCTCACAGATTTGAGTCTTTCAGTTTTCACCCTGTGGCAGAATCACTGTTTTTTTTCCTAACGGCCGTATATTCTTCAATTATTCCCCCATGCTTCTTCCTCTGTTGGGTGTGGGTGGGTGTTCTGGGGATTAAAGAGAGAGAGAGAGAGAGAGAGAGGAGAGAGAGAGAGAGAGAGAGAGAGAGAGAGAGAGAGAGAGAGAGAGAGAGAGAGAGAGAGAGAGAGAGAGAGAGAGAGAGAGAGAAGACCTCAAGTGAGTTAAGAGGATAACAGAGAACAGACACACACACATGCAGACAAACACATGCAGGACCACATTTACATGCACACACAGTCACTTACACACACATACTCCCAATTGGCTGTTTCCATGGGTATTGCCAGCTAAGTTACAGCAGAGCAGTGACGGGAGAAAGATAGTGTATTGAGCAGATTTTCCTGCTACCAAGCAATCAGCTTAGCAAACATTCAGGACAGAGGACAGACGGAACATTTCACTGTTGCATCACGGAAGAACTTTGTGTTCTGTTGTTGTAAATGTTTTCCACATAGTCCACAAGCTGCTTCTTTGAGTCTCCATTTATAGCACCTGTATTTTCAAGCTACTCGAAAACACTTTGAACTTTGAAAAAGCACATTTTAACCCTGACATATTGGATAGTTCAAGCAATAACCCTCCTCCAAATTAACCAAGGTATATATCAATACTACACTCCAAAACAATCCAAAACATAAAATGTTCCTTCATGCTCCTGCCCAAAATAAATCACTGTTAGATTATTGGGTGAGACAAACCCCTCTCTCCTGGTCTGAAAGGATTTGTTCATTTTATCTGATACAGACTGAGCAGGCGAGACAATAACAGCTTTTAGCCCAGATATATGACAGTATTTGTTTCTTCACAAAGACAGACACATTCTTACCTTAAAGTCTTGAGAATTCATTAAAGAACCAACAATCAGAAGGCTTCAAACCTACAGTTCATTGGCTGAGCACTAATAGCGTTAACTATACAATGAAACAGGTTGTTTTCGCATGCGCAATGCTTAGGTGGAGTAAACAGTATTTTCTAGTGAAGGGTTATACTGTATATCAACAGTCTGTGAAAAAACATTGCTTTTATTTTAACCTTTGCATTCTTTTTAATGTTATTCTTGTCCCTGGGCAACAAAGCATGAAAAGCCACTTACTATACAGCTATTGTCTGATGGTCAATTAGTGTTTAACAACGCTTTTCCTCACCATTTGACAAGCAGTTAACAACAATGGAATGAAAGGTTAAGCATAGGTGTTTGAAGCTGCATCGCTTTAAAGGTCAGTTTATGATTATAGTAGGTTTATTCTGGGAAGACAATGCGCTCACCCATAAATGAACAACAATGTATTAAAAATAAATTCAGTAACATACTTATTGTTGGTTTCAAACAAGTATCTATTTTGTGTAATTAAAAACACTTGCCAGTATGTCAGTACCATGGATAGCTCCGATGCTTTGCTCCATTGTGTTCCCTTCCTCCGCCAAGGGTCGCACTTCAGCCAGTTTCTCTCTGCGGAACCATCGAGTAACAGCTCCTCAGAACGGGGAGGGGGAAAAGTGTGACACACTTACCAAACAGTAATGATACGAAGGTAAACAAATGATCTATTATTCCTGCCTGGACATGGTATTGTGTTTTTGTTTTATCACAGTTTGAAGTGACCACTTTTCACTCTCGTTCATTCATTCACCCGAATGTGTGTTTGTCGCTTAGCATATATTTATGTTCTGCTGGGCTAATCAATGTTAGCTGCTTTTCAATGTCAACGAGTAAGTGTGTGCTTTCCTCTGACTTAAATTGCAATGTCACAACTGCAAAAATCCACAGCAACTCCTTTTTTTTTTTTTCTAAAAGCGTAAAGCCTTATAGCTGAACTGCGGTAGACGGCAGTCTCTGGTCTGCTGCATGCTGTATGCTCCTGTCACATGCCCCGATCTAACTCAGGATCCTACAGGAAGTTAATCATGATGTACATTCAAAAGCAATTGTTGAAAAAAGAGTGTATAATAGAGCATAACCGGCACAAAAACAAGAGCACACACATTTAGAGGAAACATAAATTACTGTTGTTACCTGACTGTTGTTACTGTTGTTAGCTTTATTATGTGAATAGTGTGTGATCACACAGGATGACACTATATAAAAGTGTTTTAGTGCATTATACATTGTACATAACGGTAACTAGTTTACTAATAATTTCCATGTTTAAAGCTACATGAGGGGGGCACTTACGGAGATCAGATGGAAATCTTCCCAGCTGATGTGTGGACAGGGTCTGATATTAATGAGGTGTTTTTACACATTGATGTACACATTAAAATTAAATGCCCCTGCAGTTGTTCTGCTCCTGCAGTGCATGACTCCAGCAAAAAAAGCAGCCAGATTTATTTTTGCCAGTGTTACTCACTGCTTTTTGTGTCCCAATGATAAATGGGCAGAGAATGGCCATATTATGGGTCATTGCTCACTTGGGCCACCTATACTAACAGTACTCATACATCGTAAGGTGCCTTGTGATTAAAAAACTCCCACCAAATGACAAATAGGTTCTTGTGGTGAACTAAGGGAACCTCTGCAGAATGTAACAGCAGCAGGAGTACTTAAAAGTAGAACATAACTTGTAGATACATACAGTCTACAGCAGTGGTTCCCAACCTGGGGGGCGCTCCCCCTTGGGGGTGCACCAAAGATCGCAGGGGGTGCGCCAGGCCTCATATCATATTTAGACGTTTTCTTTTTTTTTCTTTTTTTTTACATATAATAACGCAATACATGATTGTCGCTACATTACAATAAAATATTTTAAAAAATGGATTAATTAATTAATTAATTTATAATTCTTTAATAGAAATGTTTCTTCTGCCCGTAAAGTGTCCAAACCAGGCTTTTCTGGATAAGCACATTTTTAAAACATAGTCATTGTCCATGCCGGTTTCAGTTGGATTATTTGTCACAGTTGCTCCGATCAGATCGGTCTCCTCCATTTTGTAGATTATTTATGACTTTTGAATCCACATAAACACATCGGCAAAATCCGGCTTACTTTGAGCATGTGTTTTAAACAGTTTAATCCCTTTGTGAATTGTTTCACCCCGTCCTTTAATTTCTTCATACAGCGGGAATCCAAATGAATTAATCCTGAGTCCAATAACCATCAAAGTCACTCCAATAGTGCTCCTTAATTACGCTTTCATCCTCCTTCAACAAAATACTTCACATTCATCCAGTTTGTGACAGTAGTTGTAGCATTTTTGAGACTTTGAAACTTTAATTACCGCTGGGTGTGGGGGGGGGGGGGGGGGGGGGGGGGGGGGGTTGGGAACCCCTGGTCTACAGAACACAAACTCATACTAGCTTCCTTCAGTCTTCTCCCCTTTGCATCTCATCGTCTTAATCCCTCAATGTTAATAACTCTTTCTTCTGCTTCCAGACAAAGTTTGATGACTGTTGTGTGGGGGGGGGGTAAACCAAGATGGCCACCCGCCGTATTCCACTGGTCCTGCTAGCCTGTGGCTCCTTTAATCCCATCACCAACCAGCACATGAGGCTGTTTGAGCTGGCCAGAGACCACATGCACAGCACAGGTATGGTTTTATAGTGTCTGGTTTATTTGACTTTTTGTATCTGAAAACCCTCAGGGCCAAAGGAGCTTCTGGGTAATGTCCACCAATTAATATTTTTTATGTTTACAATAAATCAAATGACTGTGTATTGTAAAAGAGGTTGCTCGCAGTAATGAACTAACACAGAATTATGAGCCAACAGCTCCACAGAGTTTTTTCACATCATTATTTTAATTTTATGGCCTGCTACTGTTTGATTCAGTGTCCTCACTTTCATCAGCCTTGCTTCCAGCAGCAGCAGCAGCAGGCAGCTGTTTTCAGCTAACAAGCCCAGATAAACCTTCTGTCTGAGTGGTCTAAATAAGCACCAGATATACAAAGTCAGACACTAAGACACTAGCGGGATAAGAAAGTTAACAATGCAGAGTTTGTCTCAGGAGTTGGTTAAATCTGAAAGCTCAAGAGAGATTAAACTTGCCATAAACAAACTCTAAAGGAATGTTAATCTTGCTCTTTGCCTTCCTTATGTGAAAGTAGGTTATTTGCTAGCACATTAGGCATATAGGGCAATGACAGGGCTTTGTTTTTCAGCTTGTTGTGCAGCTTTAAACACTCAACATATTTGTGTTTGAATCAAGTATGAATAATAATATTTATATATCAGTGGCGAACCGTCAGGGCCTTCAAGGTATTCAGAGAATACCCTGGAACACTCAGATAAAACAAACAAAACATCGATTTAATTATATAAATAAAATGTACAGTGGGGCAAAAAAGTATTTAGTCAGCCACCAATTGTGCAAGTTCTCCCACTTGAAAAGATGAGAGAGGCCTATAATTTTCATCCTATACCTCAACTATGAGAGACAAAATGAGAAAAAAAGAAATCCAGAAAATCACATTGTCTGATTTTTAAAGAATTTATTTGCAAATTATGGTGGAAAATAAGTATTTGGTCAATAACAAAAGTTCATCTCAATACTTTGTTATATACCCTTTGTTGGCAATGACAGAGGTCAAACGTTTTCTGTAAGTCTTCACAAGGTTTTCACACACTGTTGCTGGTATTTCGGCCCATTCCTCCATGCAGATCTCCTCTCGAGCAGTGATGTTGTTGGGGCTGTCGCTGGGCAACACAGACTTTCAACTCCCTCCAAAGATTTTCTATGGGGTTGAGATCTGGAGACTGGCTAGGCCACTCCAGGACCTTGAAATGCTTACAAAGCCACTCCTTCGTTGCCCGGGCGGTGTGTTTGGGATCATTGTCATGCTGAAAGACCCAGCCACGTTTCATCTTCAATGCCCTTGCTGATGGAAGGAGGTTGTCACTCAAAATCTCACGATACATGGCCCCATTCATTCTTTCCTTTACACCAGGGTGGGGAACCTTTTTCCTCTCAAGGGCCATTTCAATTTTTTCAACATCCTCCGAGGGCCGTACAAATTATTGACCTCTGCTTAAAGATCACAGCACATTCATTTGGCCTTTCTTTCATGCTGTGAAAAGAAAAAGCAACCTCTTAATCCAGATATCTTGCCATGACTCGCGCATGCATTCACGTGCACGGTTGTGGCATGACCACCAAACAGAAAGATATGGACACAAGATGTGTGCAAATGTATTTAGTTTCCTATCCATGGACATGATTTAAGTGGGGGGGACCTAACCTCCTCTAGGGGGGTCCGGGGGCTTGCTCCCCCGGGAAGATTTTTTTTTTAAATATTGAAGTTGAAAGCATCAATCTGGTGCACTTTGGGAGCAAAAATGAAGAGATCTATGGATACATCTCTCAACAACCCATATGAAACAGAACTGTAAGCAGATTTACTTTTTCTTTATGGATATTTTACAAATCACTCTCCTTTTAAACTGTATTCTTGTTTATTAATAACAACTTTTTTTACTGTCATATAGTATTTTATACCTGTTTACTTTATTATCTTGTGTTATGATAACTATAATGATCATATAAAGATGTGCCTTTACCTCACTGGTTGGAGAAAAAGCTTCTTATATTCGTTAGCATAGCTAGCTAACCAGATGCTAATAACAAAGTTATTGACTGTATGATCAGAATGATAGATGAACAGATCGCCACTGGGCTTACAACTAAGACACAGCCACGCAAAACTGCAGTATGTGTAGCCTACGGACTTATGGGTACTGCAATTTTTTTGAAGTCCCGGAGCGGCGTTCTGGTGCTCTCCGTCAGCACTGCACCCCTGTCAGACGAGACATATACCACGTGATGACACGTTAGGCTCGTGTTGTGTTCAAGGACCATGACCGTTGCCAGGAAAAACAGGAACTCACTTGTTTAATTATTTTGCGGTCTAGATTTCTTTAATTGTTTTGCGTGTGTTTATAAATTACCTCGAGGGCCAAACCAAATGGTCTCGCGGGCCGTATACGGCCCGGGGGCCGGAGGTTCCCCACCCCTGCTTTACACGGATCAGTCGTCCTGGTCCCTTTGCAGAAAAACAGCCCCAAAGCATGATGTTTCCACCCCCATGTTTCACAGTAGGTATGGTGTTCTTTGGATGCAACTCAGCATTCTTTCTCCTCCAAACACGTCTAGTTGAGTTTTTACCAAAAAGTTCTATTTTGGTTTCATCTGACCATATGACATTCTCCCAATCCTCTTCTGGATCATCTAAATGCTCTCTAGCAAACTTCAGACGGGCCTGGACATGTACTGGCTTAAGCAGCGGGACACGTCTGGCACTGCAGGATTTGAGTCCCTGGTGGCGTAGTGTGTTACTTTGGTCCCAGCTCTCTGCAGGTCATTGACTAGGTCCCCCCCGTGTGGTTCTGGGATTTTTGCTCACCGTTCTTGTGATCATTTTGACCCCACGGGGTGAGATCTTGCGTGGAGCCCCAGATCGAGGGAGATTATCAGTGGTCTTGTATGTCTTCCATTTTTCTAATAATTGCTCCCACAGTTGATTTCTTCACACCAAGCTGCTTACCTATTGCAGATTCAGTCTTCCCAGCCTGGTGCAGGTCTACAATTTTGTTTCTGGTGTCCTTTGACAGCTCTTTGGTCTTGGCCATAGTGGAGTTTGGAGTGTGACTGTTTGAGGTTGTGGACAGGTGTCTTTTATACTGATAACGAGTTCAAACAGGTGCCATTAATACAGTTAACGAGTGGAGGACAGAGGAGGCTCTTAAAGAAGAAGTTACAGGTCTGTGAGAGCCAGAAATCTTGTTTGTTTGATGTAGGTGACCAAATATTTATTTTACCGAGGAATTTACCAATTAATTCATTAAAAATCCTACAATGTGATTTCCTGGATTCTTTCCCCCCATTCTGTCTCTCATAGTTGAAGTGTACCTGGGAAATAAAATTACAGGCCTCTCTCATCTTTTTAAGTGGGAGAACTTGCACAATTGGTGGCTGACTAAATACTTGTTTGCCCCACTGTATATAAAATGAATAAATGAGAATGGTATCTGTGTTGTTGAGCTGTAATATTACAGTGTTACGTTGATTTGTTTGTCCTTCTCGGACCATGCACTAAACCTTTCAGTGGTTTTGTGTTAGAAAATAAAGAAACCAATCAGATCTTGTTCTGGGTCTCTGGGTAGAATATCCTTCAACCAAGGTATTCTACATCCTTGATAGAATGCCCTGTCCGTTGCACTGAATGAGAGCGTACGTTTGGACTGACAGTTCGATCAACCAATCATATATTGATTTGTAGCCAATGGGCGTATTCTTTCAGTGTTTCCCTCGTTTCCAGGGTACTCTAGAAGGCCCGCTAGTTCACTGGCTCGAGGCAGAGGATCTAGATGAATGTGACGAAGCAATTCATGCCGTTTTATTGTTTTTAACGTTGAAATGACAAGTGCAACAGGTGAAGATGAAGTTGTTGCGGAATTGTTGTGAGTACCCTTTTCAAGACGACAATTCAGTGAACAGACGGACATTATAACGTGCCGGGGGGGTCTCCTTTATATAAATCCAGGTCCAAAGCTGCTCTGAATAAGAGTACCACCGGCACGGTCACATGGTGACATCATTATACCTGAACAGTAATACACTGGTCCTGAGTCGGCTCCCACTCTTAAGATGCTTTGTGTAACTATGCACTGTGTAGCATTGCAGTGGGCAGGAACTGAGAATAATGCTCTTGCCATTTCCCTCCGACCCCTCACCTATAAGATCAGCTGACTAGTTTGAGTGTAACAATAGGAAAAGTACTGTTCTTGTGATGCAGGTGCAAAAACATCTGTTTTTGAAACATGTTTTTTATAAACACTAGATTTAACACAATTAGCTTCTCTATTCCCCATTGCATTTTGATTTTTTACTAATTTCCGCTTGGGTTGTCCAAACATGTAACATATCTATACTTATTTTGATCAAAGGGTCAGAAATGGCAGACCTCTGCTAAATCCCTGAAATAAAGCAGCTTAATTCAATGTAAAACCCTAAATCTATGTAGCATGAAGAAACAACCTGTCATTTATGGCCCACTTTGGTAATAGCTGGGTTTTCCCTTTTCACAGTTTAGGAAAAGTAAAGGGAAACAACAAGAGTCCTTGTTCTTTTGGGGAACAAAGAAACGTATATTGTTATGAATTAAGTATTGTTTACCTTTTCCTATCAATTCGCTTTTTAGTCTCCACCTGTAAGGTGTATAAACATCACCAATAAATATAAAGTATAAAAGATAATTTTGTACAAAACAAATCTTTTGAATCTATTCCAACATTGGCAATTGCCGGGTCAACAATAACCCTAACCCTGGTGTACAGCTTTCAATTGTTATTTTCTGTAATGTTAGTTACAACATATATTGGGGTTATTTACCCTTAAGACAACTCAATGGTTAAAGGAGTTTCAAATCGATTTCACAATACGAGCTGTAAGTAATGACATTGTTCGATAACCCTGTTTTAAATGCATCAATCATAGCATGTGTCTTCAAATGTGAGATCTGAAGAAACACTAATAATATTAACCTGAGTATCTCACAAGTCTTTGTCTACTGATTTATATGCTGGGTCTGTATCGACTGTCATGGTCCAGATAACACTGTATTCATCTTCCTCTCTCCCTTCAGGCCAGTACCAGGTGGTGGGTGGCATCGTGTCTCCAGTCAGTGATGGCTACGGAAAGCAAGGCCTGGTTCTGGCTCAGCACCGTATCGCCATGGCAAAGCTGGCGCTGCAGAGCTCCGACTGGGTCACGGTTGATGAATGGGAGAGCCAGCAGGCAGACTGGACAGAGACCGTGGTCACCATGAGGTGTAAAACAAGTTTATAGCAACATTAGAGTTCACTTCGCTTCATTTATTAAAGGTTACATGCACACATTTGTAGGATAATGTCAGCCTGCATGTCATTTTGAGATGAAATGGTGTGTGCAGCTAGTCAACACATTAAGACCTTTCATTAATAATAAAATAAGTGTCCCGTACTGTGTTTTTGTGTTGACAGAACCAAGCACATCTTATTTCCAGTTTATATCCACCACCCAGTAGCTGATAATTGCTTCTATTAGCTTTACTCTCATCTGTTACCTCTGTTATAGTTTTCTTCGCTGACATCATCAAGTTTCAGTTAACAGAGTTGCTCCTCCGCTCGCCCTGCTCCTTGCCAACCTTAACTACATATATAGCAGTGTGTTGCCAGGTTGTGGTCTCTTGTAGGCCTGCCAGACTAGACTGTTTTTCATGAGGTGAAATAAGGGGCACCTGCTCTTAAATTCACTGGCAGAGATGGGATGCTGTAATTGCAAATGGATACTTTGGACATGAGTATGTGCGAAAAGAGACAGGCATAGGTGCTATGAATAAGGTATGTCCCAGGTTACTATGCAGAAATGTGGAAGGTATTTGCAGTTGGTTCTTTTCAAGAATCCAGCCCAAGCGAATAGGGCTGCAGCTATTGATTATTTTCAATATCGATTAATCTGCAGATTATTTCCTAGATTAATCGATTAAATCTAAGAAATGTCATAATAAAGTGAAATAAGGTCATCCAAGTTACTCAAAGTCCGAGAGGATTTCTTAAAAGGTATTGTTTTGTCAGTCCAAACCCAATAAGACATTCAGATGTATATATTAAACAGACAAGCAGAACATGAAAGGCTGAAAACAGCATTTTCTGCATAAAAATGCTAACTACCCGTTGCAGCTCTGAAAGGGAATGAATGATGTAATGGATTTGTTTTACCTTATTCTGTATTACTGCACAAACGTAATCATTAATCAGACTTATTTTTAGAAAGGTCTCTTACACTTGCATCATTGTACTTCTTCCGCTTTATTAATTCTCCCTCTCCTGCTTCGGATTTCTTACAAATCCCCTCATGAGTGTTTGCGCAACAAGGGTGCTGATCAAGCCATGAAGTGGCCTGTTGTTATCCATGTCACAAGTCCTCACACACACACACACACACACACACACACACACACACACACACACACACACACACACACACACACACACACACACACACATGCCTTCTAGAACACCTTTAAGAGGCTTAACTTGAAAAATAGTTTTATTTCTATTTTTAAAAGTTACTCTGTCAAGCATCAACTTTTTTCCTTTAATTATTCAGTTCAGTTTGATAAAGATTTCTATGCATGATGTTTATATTAAAATGTTGTCCATTAATGAAAAGCATAAGGCAAATTATGTTTTAATACTTGACTAGCTACTGGTGACAAGATGAATAAATACTCAATATTAGTAAGGAAAATCGATGTATTACCATTACCAAAGACATTAATCGTAATCTTTGCTTGTCATGCAGGTATCATTGTGGCCGTATCTTGAAGGAGTATGAGCGGAACACAGGAGAGCACAAAGACTCCAGTGGAAACCCCTCTCCCCTCTCAAGTAAGAACCTCTCACTGTTGTGAACTTGCGATCAGCTCAGAAACCCTTTGACCTCTGTCGGTTCCCGGCATTATATATCTGGGTTTAATCTGTGGCGTTGGGTGTTAATTTCTCTTATTATTGAGATGGAAATGTTTGACTGGTTCACCATTTTGGTCAGAGTAAATGTAAACGTATTTCATGATTTCCCATGAAATTGAATACATATATCATGCTCCCCAGAGGATGAACACATCCCTTGTGTCGAAGCACAGCCTCACAGATTCACTGTCACTGAGTGGTTGTAGCCTCTCTTGGCCTACATAAAAATGACATTCTTCCAAATTACCAAACACACAGTGCCTGATTTTTTTGAGTATATTCCTTCATCACGTCTTTACCAAGACCTCTACAGAGTTGGGGTTAAGGATTTGCGTCAATACCACATAATGGGCCTGTGCTCCTGACCAACAGTGATTAGAGAGTATTAGGGATAGGTTTAATACTTTGAAAACTTTTGTGCATGTGTACCGCACACCCAGCCGCCGGAAGTTGATAAACGCCATCTTGTGCAACTAGCCCATACAATTAGTGTTCAGGAACAACCTATGGGAACAACATCCAACAACTAAACAACCATGAAAACATCTATCAAAAAATATTATGATTTTAGTTTTGTCTTCTAATCAAAAGCCACCAATCTACATGTTTAGCTTTAGCCTTCAGCCCCATAGATATTTAAGTAATATATGTCTTTACAACTAGTTAATCAGATCTAGTCATGTCAGGTCAAGACTCAAATACAACTTTTTCCTTGATATTGAAATCACTAATTATTCGAGTTTGAGATCCCTTTGAGGAGAATTATAGGATTGCCAATTTTTGTAGTTTCATTGTGAAGTTGGCAAACACCAACTGAAATATTTCCATGAATTAAAAACCAGCACCATCTGAGGAATATGTAACTCTTTGCCATTATACAGTATAATATATGTATATACATATTCGAGAAGTACCTTTGGCCCCTCATTGCGTATCAACTTTTTTTCCTGAACTTTATTCCATGCTATGTTTTATAATTTTATTTTTATGATAAATATCAGTCACCATTTATCCGCGCTCTCCCTTCAGGCCCCTGTCCCCAGTTGAAGCTTCTGTGTGGAGCTGATTTCCTCGACACTTTCCAGGTCCCTGACCTGTGGCTGGACGACCACGTTGAGGAGGTGGCGGGACATTTCGGACTCATCTGCGTCAGTCGGGGGGGGGCTTCATCCCGAGCAAGCCGTGGCCGCGGTCAGACACCTCTCTCGCGCCCACAGTCATAACATTTTCCTGGTGAGGGAATGGGTGAGGAACGAGACGAGCGCCACCGAGGTCCGCCGGGCTCTGAGACGGGGCCTGAGCGTGAAATACTTGATCCCAGACTCTGTGATAGAATATATTCACCAGCACAACCTCTACACGGAGGACAGCGAGAGGAGAAATAAGGGCACAGTGCTGAGGCCGCTCGCCAAACAGGCAACACAGCCAGGGAAGAGTCTGGATGACTGATAGCTGAGCATGAAGGCCTTGAAGTGTGAACTCACTCACAGATCAGTGCTTCTCTTCAGGGACTGGACGCTCGGCTAACTTCCACTGGACTGCAGAGTGATAGAGCTCTGCACATCCTGCTAAGAGACACACAATGGCCCAAATGTGTTTTTCCAGGCATCACTTGTTGTTAGTAAGAAAATGTTCACAGTGCTGTGGTGTGTTTTCAATCATACACTTGGAGTGTTGCAAATACATAAACATTTGTAGTTTTTATAGTTTACTTGTAGTTTTACATATCACACCATTGCAGAGTTGGATACATTTAAATAAAATACTATATATTTAAAGTATTTAAGTCTGACTGGTGTTTTTCCGTTGCAGCTCTCAGCATTTAAGACATAATAAGGTAATGAGTCCACATCCCCTTAACAACCCAAATACCTAATATATGTATAAAAATACAACTTATCCGACCCTTTTAGAGATACAATTATAAACAGTGACAGGCTTTCCATTTTACAATAAGAGCTAATAAACAATTGATTTTCACAAGAACAAACAATTGATGTTCCTTCTTTTCTTAAAAGCAGCCAACATGGGAAATAATTTCACAATAGACAATGGTTGTGGAATATAGTTCAAGGTTCGAAATCCATTTAATAGTTTGAGGAGCAAAATCCATTTAAATGTGTCAAAGTTGTTTTTAAAACTGACACAATGGTGTGAATTTTGTTTCATAAATGTGTGATTATCCTGGAGAAATACTAAAATGTTATATATATGTAAACATTATTTGGGCCTTATATCTGAAAACCTAAGGATCTACTTTTGAAATGCAGCCGTGTTTGTTGTGTATATTTTATGTATATTAGATTGTGTGCATCTTAATCCCAAGGCTACCAAAGCGCCCCATGTGTACGTTTTTAATTGAATACTAGATGCTGTTTTAAATTTGCTCACATATAAAGATCATTGTTAGTGTTTCTACTCTGCAGCAGCCTCCAAAGCTATTCAGTTCCCCAATTATCATCCACACACTGCGTCTGTGAGCCTGTGTTTTTTTTCTTCCACCAAACGATTTAAAGTAATCCTGACCGTTGCTCAGCTACAGAAGGTGTTTTTTCATTGAGGCCAATGGCTGAAAGCGCCACTGTGACTGATACTGAATGACATCCTTTGAGCGGTGGTGTGTCTTTGTGTGTGTCTTTGTGTGTGTCCCAGTCAGCAAAGGATTTAGACAGTTTGTTTGCTGCAGCTAGCCTTTTAAAAGAGATTATCAAATTAATTGAGTTGTTTAGGCGAAACAAAAGTGGCGACAGTCCCTATTGTGCTACATTTCATTGTTTCAGTTGGATCCTTTTAAGCTCAGGTGGTTCTGCTTTTGTATTTCGCTGCATATTATTCACACTGTGTGCTTTACATCCACTTGCTGACACGTAATAGAACTTTGTATGATTTCACTCCATTAGGCTGATTGGTTTTTGCCCTGTATGTTGATTATTACTCTGATTGATTATAAGATATTACTAATCTTATACAACAGAACTATGCCAAAGCTGCCACACGTGGAACTCCCTATAAGTGCGCTTGTGTCAATTAACAAAGGAAGTGTATTCATCCCAATCCGAAATAGGTGGAGTAAGCACTCTCTAACATAAAGCTTCTCCGCATTATGTATGCATGCTGGAATAGCGTGGTGAGGATTGAGTGTTACGTGGAGGGGGAGTGGGAGGTAATCGGATTAAAGTGAATTTGGTTCAAATTGAGGCTTTTGACAGCAGGTTCTGCACTCTGGAGCAAGTAGCTGTCCACAGCAGACCTCTTCATCATTCACTGAGTAAAGAGAGCAGCAACCGCCAACATGCCAGTCGATTTGAACGGATATTGGAAAATGATTTCCAGCGATAACTTCGAGGACTACCTGAAGGCTCTTGGTGAGTTTGCAGCAGGGGAGAGTGGAGGACAGGCCTACTAAAGAGAGAGGCAAGGGGGGAAATGTTTCATCACAGGAGCTTTTAATAGCAAAGTAGTTATTGTAAACCTATAAATACTACTATTTCAACTTTAGTTAAGTGAGATTGCAGCTATTGCACAATGTAGTACATTAATGAGAGAAATCCACATTTGTTGACATACTTAATATCTTCCAATTACTTTTATATAAAAACTATAGAATACAAAATCATTGTTTATTAAAAAAAATACAACTCAACAGAAATGGACCAAATTACCATAACTGACTTGTCTTAAGGAAATAAGTGTGTGTTTTGAACTGTATTAGTCTATTAAAACAGAGAGTTTCTCATGTTTCTGACTGATTTTCTCGCCCTTCTCTGGAACCTGTTGCAGATGTAAATGTTGCCGTCAGGAAAATCGCCACCTTGTTGAAGCCTGATAAGGACATTTCCCACGTTGGGGACCACATAGTCATCAAAACCCTCAGCACATTCAAAAACTACAACATGGACTTCCATGTGGGCAAGGAGTTTGAGGAGGATCTGTCTGGAGTGGATGACAGGAAATGCATGGTGAGAATGTGTAGACAATGTAACCAGAAGGGGTTTATTATAAATGTTAATTCATGTGCTGTATCACACTTTTGAGAAACCTATTGAACCTTTCCGATTTCGTCTTAGTGCAAATCCTGTGTGCATATAAACTAACAGTTCTGTTTGGCACACCTTCAGACTGTAATGAGCATATGGTGTAGTGAGACTGTATACAAAACCCCGTCTACTTACAAAACTTTCTTTAAACTTCTCACACTCAATGTGAATGAACTGCTGTGAGACCGGTGTCGGGAAAAGAAAGTGAGAGAGAGAAAAAGAGAAATAAGTAGAGACTCAAGTTATTTTAATCAGATTATGTCCCTGAATACTGAATAGGATCAAAGATTATCTGGGGTCCCCCTTGAAAAGCTTTTTTATATGCTGATTATAGAAAAGCTGTTTGGAGGGTGGCTGAGAGAAAAGGGTTATGTGTGTCTGTATTTGCAGATTCTATCGGAATAATTATTTATGGGGAAATGTTTAACATACCTCTATATGTGCATGCATCTACATTGATTTGAAAAACGTCTACATGAGTGCATGATGTGCTATAATCCCATTTTCCTCCTGGCCTCATGCAGACCACCATCTCTTGGGATGGAGACAAGCTGGTGTGTGTGCAGAAGGGGGAGATAGAAGGGAGAGGCTGGACCCACTGGGTGGATGGAGATGAGCTTCATCTGGTAAGAAAACATCAGCTTCTGCCATGAATAATAATTTATGCAATTTGGACACTTTAATCCAAATCCAAAATGCCTCTTAGCACACTATGTGCGGTGCATTTAATGTGTGACTCTTGAATTAGCCCACAAGCTCCAGCAGTGCAATTTATTGTGTGAACTGCATGTTTATGATACTGCCAAGTCAATCATATATGTTTACCCCTAAAGTAACTGTTTAAAGAGGAAAAACACACTTGTATATTCTAATTCTTAAGCGTTCCAGTGATCAAGCACATAACAGCCACGTTATTATCTTGACTTTCCAATCTAATTTCTGTTAGAAGAACTTCAATAACTTTCTCTCCTCCTAAATTCACAGTGAGGCATGTAATGAAAGCATTAGCATCTGAAAAGACTAGCACAGTAATGGCTAGCACATTACCATTTTCATTAGCTCAGCATTATCAGATTACCCTCTGTGTGATTACTGTTATCAAAACTAGGCAAAAAATAATCTGCCAAATGATCTGGTATAAACTATGCCAACAGATGTTTTCAATCAACTGGCATGAAATTAGATATTAGTTGGAGGTTTCCTCGAGCTGGCAGAGGGTTATGAATGTTGCGCAACAGTGGCCTCCGGTGGCAGAAAACTCTTTGCAATTTGGATGGTAGAAAGTATTCTATCAAACTGTTGCTGCCCTTTAAAATCCCCCTTAATTAAACTGAATACTGAACTGTGAATGACCTCTTGAATAATATACTAATAATTAACATATCCTCAGAACCTACCATCTATTTAATGTTGCTATGTTAGTCAAATGTTTGTCTGTGATTGTAAGAAACACAGTAGACAGTAGGGCTTAAGATCTATAATTCTCCTGGTCATTTTCATTAGTCAATATTACATTCTGAGTCAGATCTAAAAATATCTAAAACAAATGTATTGTCTGTTGTTACCTGCAGGAGCTGAGAGCCGGTGGAGTTGTTAGCCAGCAGGTGTTCAAGAAGTCCTAACTGAACAGGATGGCACCCCCGGTTGACATGGGCCTAAACAGACACACTAGAAACATCCCATGCCTCTGACATCCAATCCTACATCTCCTCATAATGTCCATCTATCCATGTGTTTTCCTGTATTGAAAATGTCATGAAACACACAGTTATATTCCATCATAACTACTTTTCCAAAGCAAATTCAGAGGGGCAGGGGCATTATGTATCATGTACCATCACAACATGCAATACTCTATATCTGTCTAAGGGTGGGAGCTATTTTGATTAACAGTTTAGAAGTGTTGGCTGCATGCATACTGCTACTGGAGGTGAAACATAATCTGAAATGACCTAAAGTGATGGATGGCATTGAAGACAAGAGAGCGTGGGTTAATCCCATTTTAGTTCCCTTAAAAATTGCTTTGGATGGCAAAAATACAAATCTGAGTGTGTTTGAGGGCTGTAAACTTCTTCACTAATGCTTAGTCTCCAGAATGGATATATATGTAATGATGTGTATTTATCCCTCCCGGTTCCTTTGGGAATGTGCCAATATAGTAAAATGAATCAATCAATAAAGTAAACAATGCTTAATTATGTCAGTTGTATTTGTCTGAGTGCGACTGCCATTTATTTTGTTAATTAGACTTGTTAGATTTGGAATGTATTCATTTGGTAGTTCATTCAAACAAAACATAAATGATTGCTTATCATTAATCCAAGTTTCTCAGGCCAACACATCAGCTGTGGTAGCTCTTTTGTTCTAAAAATGCTTTTACAGACTTGCACAAGGTCTATTATGGCCTCTGCTTGAGAGTTTCAGTGAGTGAAGTGAAGCCCGCGGAGCTGTGGCCAGACAACTCGAGCCCCGCTGTGCTCTGAATCAGCTAATCTGTCAACTCACTCTGTGCATTGCCATTAGCAATTGGGCAGTCAGCTGTCCAACTCACTTGCTCATTCTTTGCTGCTGTTGCTCGCTCTGCGCTTCAGCGTCCTGCCGCTTTTTGTGCATTCACATCCTGACAATCCCTGCATCTACCTGCAGGCTCTGATTATGTATGGTTCCACAGGGGGCTGTTATTGATCTCTCCCTGCTCTGGCTATGGCTGGTTAAAAAAAATGATGGTCTCAGGGAGGTGGTCCAAACAGAGTCTGGCGTCAGGCTGAAATCCCCATTTGCATTTTTTCTCAATAAAACATTTCTACTGAGTGCAACTCTGTTCTGGAGGAAGGTCAGTTACTCAACTCATATTTTGATCAGCAATCAACAGACAGGAGAGGATTTCAAGCCATGCTCAATTTTAAAGTTCCACATAATATGCTAGAAAATGTATTTATTTTGGCTGTTTAACCTTCACTTTGCAGAATGATGTAAGTGCAGAACTTTACACTTTGAAACAGTTATGACATGAATCTGCTGAAAGCTTAACCGTGCTCACTGTTAGGAAAATATCACTCGACACCATGGTTGAGAATCAATAATCAGGTACTAATTTATTCTTGCAAGAAGGAGCAGAGTTAAATCACATAGGCCTACAGGATATGGTTTAACTCACACACATGGGGTATGTTGCTCAACGGAGCAGGAAAAACATCAGGCTTATATAGTCCAAAATACAGGAGATAACAACAAAGTCGTAAATCGAGGTGGCGCTAATATCAGCCGCGGGTGTCGGAAAAGCGTCGGGTCATCTGCGATGGGTCATCTGTGACGTCTTCTGGACTTCCTTCACGCCTCATAGAAATGAGATGTGTAGGAGACAACAAGTAGGCTATGTGTCTGTCTCCTCATAAAGATCAACAACCTGAAATGCCCTGCCTCCTCCTATCACAAGAAGAGGCAGCTGCAAGGTCGTACACAGTTCAGACTCACACATGATATCAGTGCATTAAAACAAACCCAAAGAGGAGACAACTGTATTTTCTCCAACACTCACCTTTAATATGGTGTTTAGCTTTTTACAATTTAGGACCACACATGATTATGTGAACTCACAACAAACTTGCAAAACAAATCATTCTGGACACATATCATATTGTACCGAGAGAATGGATGGTGAAGTCGTGTGTCCAGTGGTTTAAGTAAAGACTTTAGTCCTGGTTGATTTAGTGACACCTGTGGTAACTGGGTGTATTTCTGTGAACATGTTAGGGGTTGCACCACTGACAATGCATAGTACCATATAGAAAGTTATATAGTGAGTGTGTGACCATTTCATGCCGATCAGTTTATTTTCCAACATAAATTGTATCAAAATTTGAGTTTGATAAAATGAAAATCACAAGGATTATAACTTTAAACTTTAAAAAAAAACATAACAGAAATAAATTATTATTCACAATCAATGCATTCATTGAATTATTTCACATAAGTCACAAATGTTTGACTTTTTTCTAAACTAGTTGAACTCCAGTTACCTCTTTGGTCAAATTTCTAGGTATTCTGGATCAGCATTTGTACATGCCACAGAGAAGAACAAATAAAGAGCGCACACTGTTGGCAGATGTTACAAAAAAACTTCTCCGTCTGTACATTGTACACTGAAACATCAGGGCAGTGTTTGCATGTGTACGTGTGTAAAGGTGCATGTGAGAGAAAGCTTGATGTGTGTGTGTGTGTGTGTGTGTGTGTGTGTGTGTGTGTGTGTGTGTGTGTGTGTGTGTGTGTGTGTGTGTGTGTGTGTGTGTGTGTGTGTGTGTGTGTGTGTGTGTGTGTGTGTGTGTGTGTGTGTGTGTGTGTGTGTGTGTGTGTGTGCACCCACATAAATGCCTATCGCAAGCCCCTCCAATGACCATGTAAAGACGGGAAGAGAAGGGTGAGTCCCCCCCCTCCCGCTCCAAAAACAACTACCACTGCCAATCCTGTTCAAGCCATAAACCCACTTATCAATAGTTATCTGCCCTCATTCCCCCTGATTGTATAAAAGCAGGAGGACACCCTGCACCTTTCCCCTCTATACACTGTCTAAAGTCTACACACACATCAGCGTCACCAGCTGCCATCATGCCTGCAGACTTCAGTGGGAAATGGATACTGGAGAACAATGACATATTTGAGGAGTATTTGAAAGTGTTGGGTAAGAAATGTTTGATTTAGGTCTGGGATGTCTTAGTGATGTGTTAAGTGATGTTACTGGTTGAGCAGCGGAAGAGACATATGTATCCCCTCCCATGCATCTGTAAATATTGTTTTTTTTGTACAGTTCAATGTATTCTGTGGCTAAATCAAATAAGTTATTCTAAGGTTATTTCACCCCAGATTCTTATGTAAACACTTGTATGATGTCAACTGCTAAAATGCCCTCAATATTGCATCCCTGTAAAATATAATGTATGCACTACTATAATCTGTCTCCTCTGGAAAGATGTCTTAATTCACTCTCTGTATTCTGGCTCCAGACATTGACTTTGCTACAAGGAAAATTGCCATCTCCCTTTCTCAGACCAAAGTTATATCCCAAGATGAAGACAAGTTTACCGTCAAAACGCTGAGCACCTTCAGGAATTATGAACTCTCCTTCACTGTAGGGGTAGAGTTTGACGAGCACACCAAGGGACTAGACAACCGAAACATCAAGGTGGGTTGACCTCTCAGATACGGAGTCCTTGAAGTGAAAAAAAAGTCAGTGATAGTTTATCTGATGAGTCGATGTTTTTCATATTGCCTGGTTGCTTTTCAGACAGTGAGAACATGTTATGTAAGTGTGTGCAGGGCAATGGTTGGTCTCTGTGTGTATTATCAAGTCAAGGAAAGAGAGGGGGGGGGCTCTCATTATGACATCCAATAGCTTTGTTCCACAAAATGGCGTGCTAATGGTGCTTCAGTTACTTGCAAGCATATTTGCATTGATTATCAAGCTGCAAGTAAGAAGAAGATGTTGTTTAAAGAGCTAAATTAAATGTAATAAGACTTGTGAAATAACTTTAAAGGGAAAGCATCACATTTTAGAGGCGAGTAAAATAACTAATAATGAATTAAGGTTATTTGTTGATAGTATCCTACTATTTTGAGACATTATCAGCTTAATAGTAATGTTCACTTATAAGTCTACATAAAGACATATAGCGACTGAAACATTTAATACATTTGTATGCCAAAATAAGAGCAACTTTAATAAGTCTACACTTAGCACTTGTTTCATCCAGTGCTAATTACACAACGGGATGAAAGCAAGCCTAAATTGTCTTCTAAATGGTCCACAATCTTCGTGGTGGCAGTAACCTTTAAGTCAGAACATTGAGCATGTTTGTGGTAAAGGTAGTGATGGAATTCAAAGAGGATTTATTTTAGTGACAGGGGAATTGTTTTTTTTACTACACTGTTATTTACTTTTGAATGTGCATTAAATATTAAATTAAAGTATTTAATAAATGCACTTTGTGACTTCTTGTAGTGTCTTGTGACCTGGGAGGGGGACAAGCTGGTGTGCACGCAGAAAGGAGAGAAGGATAACCGTGGCTGGAAACACTGGATCGAAGGAGACAAACTCTTCCTGGTGGGTTGACAGTATCTGTCATGATAATTAGATTTCTGCTGAATTATTTGAACCAGAACACGCCCTGATGATGAATAAAAGAGAAATATGTTGGATTAGTAGAATGTATTGCACAGCAGAATGTGATTATTGAGTATGATGAGGACACTGTTATTGCTCTCATTTTTCTCTAATTATCCTTCTTTCCTCCCACAGGAGCTGACGTGTGAAGATGTAGTTTGTGTGCAGGTGTTCAAGAGAAAAACATAAACGGAAATATCTGGGTTTTTTGTATTTGCACATACTCCTCAATAACATGTGTTCCCAAACGTATGAACAAAATGAATAAAAGTGCTTTTCAGACATGAGGTGTTGTGTATTAATAGAGACAACCCTGATTTTATAATGAATTTAGATGTTTACAATGGGTCAGAATATGTAGCGCTTCTTTTTTTAAACCTGTTAAGCCCCGAGCCTGTTTTTCAGGTCTCAGGCTCGAAAATGACATTCCCAGAACAAATTACCATATCTTCCCTTCTAAAAGGGTTAAGTTAATCATATTTGTTCTAAAAGCAAGGTTACATCTGTGAGTTGGATGTAGAAGTGTCAGAACCAATATAGATGTTTTTATTTTAAAGTAAATTCAGATTGAATACAGTAAAACAAATTAAATTATTGTGTCCGTCCAAAAATAATAATTAATAATAATAACTCCTGGTAATGTGTTTGTGTGAGTGTGAGAGTGACGCGTAGCCAAAACCGGAAGCTGCGATAACTCTGGTGGCTACCATTAGCAGCTAACTTTTACTCTCCGATTTTTACATTAAAATGGAATTATGGATTATAAATAATTTTTTCAAATCGACAGAAACATTATCAACCTATGGATTCACCGATTCAGCCGCGTTTTTTCTCGTTTTAATGCCATTGAACACGTCTTTTGATCAGATTGACAGCTACGGTGAGACGATCTCCCGTAAAAGCTCCGTAAAGGTAGTGTTGTGATGTCTGTGTTTGCTTCCCCTGTCGAGTTTGGTTCGCTCAGTGATGATACTATACCTATATAATCTGTGGAACCTCAGCTTTAATCGGATATATTGTATGTGCAGCTACGATAAGTAGGCTAATAAGGGTATCTTTATCTTTAGTTATGTGCCAAAGTGCGTTAGCATTTTTCGTTCAGGGGTCATTTAGATGCTTCTTATGAGACTTGTGTTTTGTTTTGGTAAAAATGGTTTGTAACGTCAGTTAGCTGAGATTATTCCCGTTAATCTGGTATAACACATTAATAGGTTCTTAAATATTAAGATGCCCTGAGACACAGTGTCGTGATAAAAAAGGGGACCCGCCGAGGGGGGCTTTGGGGCTTAACAGGAAGAGAGTGAACATTTCACCTCACATAAGGTGGCTGAAAGTGTATCAACACATATTTGTATTCCCTGTTCAACACTTGATAATAACTATAACAACCTAAAATACCTCTTCTTTAGGAAGTGTGCACATCCTGCACAAAAGACTAATAAGCTCACTTTAAGAAGGGTTATAATATTAACACTGTTTTACACATTTTATAAAACACATCCTCCACAGGGGCCTTTTAAAACCAAATGCTTATATCGCCATCTGCTGGAAAAAAATGGTGGTATCCTTTAAGAAGACATCTAATAATAATATAACACAAAACAGAGATCTAAGCATCAGACACTACAACTCTGTCAATATGAAATTAGGTGGGGGGAGGGAGGGTATAAAATGATATTTTTAACCTTATTCACGATAAAGTAGTAACAAGTGAAGCATCGATACCTTCTACCGGTATATCCTAGTTAAAAATCGGATAGCAATATGTTATGAAATGTGGAAAAGACCCAGAATCTCTTCAAAGTAGGGCACGTTTATTCTCACTTTATTATTTGTTTACGTTAACGGACCGTGTGGTGTCAGCTGCTCCAGCAGACCTTCGTGTCACGTCACCACTTCCAGAGCGCAACTCACGCGAGATTGAGATTCAGGAAGTTCCACGTCAGTATCCAGTGCTCCGTTCACTGAAGTCGCAACATTTGGACCCCGTTTTCAACAAATTTATCTTATTTTATTGTGACACAAAGGGGATAAAACATGGTAAGAGATATTTAAAATAGTTACCAGCATGTTGTTTCATACAGGTCTTCCACGTGTCCTGGTATAGTTTTTAAAAGGACCGTGAAACTGTCAAATAATAATGCACTATTGTAAATAGCTGTAAATAGCTTAACGGCTAACTAGCTTGAGTTAGCCTGAAAGCTTGTAGCTAACGGATGTTAATATTTAGGATGATGGCTGTTTGGAAGATTTATTTTTTGTTAACAGTTAATTTGAATCAGTTGTCGAAAGAACTCCTACATGATGCATACGTTAAAAAATGTTGGTAGCATTACAATACGAGGCTAAATGTTATGTTAGCATGCTAACGGTTACGTTGGCTTTATTACGTTACCTTACGCTGAGGAGTTTTTAACAGATAATGAAATGCCCATGAAGTGTTGAGTATAAACGGCATAGAAAAGACACCGATCTCCTATGTTTTTTTCAGCCTCTGCGGCTGGATATTAAGCGGAGGCTGACAGCCAGGTCAGACAGGGTGAAGAGTGTGGACCTTCACCCAACTGAGCCATGGATGCTGGCCAGTCTGTACAACGGCAGTGTCTGTGTGTGGAACCACGAAACACAGGTATGATCAGTAACACAGTATAGAAACAGTAATGACTAAACAACCAAACTGCATAAATATGTGATTTTATAGTAATATACTGACTTAAAATACACACAATGGCATGATGATGATGATGATGATGATGATGATGATGATGATGATGATGCAACCCAATTCAGTAATTTTCTTTTCCCCCAGACTCTTGTCAAGACGTTTGAAGTATGTGACCTCCCTGTCAGAGCTTCTAAGTTTGTGGCAAGGAAGCACTGGGTCATCACAGGAGCAGTGAGTTACATCCATTGTTTGTTTTTCCCAACTCTCACAGCTGTCGTCTATAACAACAGCATTTGTGTATAAACCTGACAGTATTATCTCGCAGAGGTTGAATTTAGTGTTGTTTACGTGTCTTTTTAATGTGGGCAAGTGCAACGTCTTAACAGTAAAGCTTTACATATATTTAATTGTGTGTGTCACAGTTGGAATGTACAAATACCCTACTATACAACAGCATATACCAATTGCATTTGTTTTAACATGTATTTTGGTCTTTTTTATATAATTTTTTTATGAACTTGCTGCTATACTGCTATGATTCAATGTTTTTTTTCTCCCCGCGCAGGATGACATGCAGATCCGAGTGTTCAACTACAACACCCTGGAGCGTGTCCACATGTTTGAGGCCCACTCTGACTACATCCGTTGCATTGCTGTCCATCCGACCCAGCCCTATATCCTCACCAGCAGTGGTACGCTTGTAAACTAAGTACATTGATACACTTACAATGCAAAGGCATTTGAACACTAGGGTCTTCAATTGTATTTGCATTGTGTGTGCAAAACATCATGAATGTATTTTCTATTTCTATGCAGATGACATGTTGATCAAGCTATGGGACTGGGAGAAGAAGTGGTCTTGCAGCCAGGTGTTTGAGGGGCACACTCACTATGTCATGCAGATTGTCATCAACCCCAAGGACAACAACCAGTTTGCCAGCGCCTCTCTGGACAGGACCATTAAAGTAGGGCCACTTGCTGTTGTCACATTTACTGCTGCTAAATGTATCTTGTCGTTGAGTTAGTACTGCAGATTCTACTGCGGTCCTGCAACTTTTTTAATGACAATACATTAAAAAGACATCCTTGCCTTTTTAAATAAACATATATTTAAAGGTCTGTGTCTAAGGTGCATCGAGTGATTCTGGTTCCTCTGGGTTTTTTAAGGTTTGGCAGCTAGGCTCTTCATCTCCTAACTTCACCCTGGAGGGTCACGAGAAAGGAGTCAATTGTATTGACTACTACAGTGGAGGAGACAAGCCTTACCTCATCTCAGGGGCTGATGACCGCCAAGTAAAGATCTGGGACTACCAGGTTAGAAAATGTTTTCCTTATTTTATTCACTGCTATATATCTAGTGTATTAATACACCTTCATTTTGATTTTACATTCTAGTATATTAAAAATAGTACACAGTGCAATTAAATATGTTGAATAAAATCTAATATTATAAGAACAGGTTCATTTCCTGCTGTCTTGTATTACATGTGTTAAATACATAGCTTTACAAACAATTAAAGCTTACTCAAATAGTTGATTGTTCTTTAAAGCATGTCGTTTTTCCTCATTATTCTGCTCTGTCCTTCCTATGAGCATCCAGTGGCATTGTGTTTGTACCTCTTTAACAGTCTTCCTCTGTATGTTGCAGAACAAGACCTGTGTTCAGACTCTGGAGGGCCACGCCCAGAACGTCTCTTGTGTCAGCTTCCACCCCGAGCTGCCCATCATCATCACTGGATCAGAGGACGGTGAGCAGGAAACGTACTCATCCTCACCTCAAAAAACCCTCAAGAATGCATTTCACCCAGTGGCCTCATTGATCATTTCTTTATGCTACTTTACCTCTTTCCTCTGTAGGTACCGTTCGCATCTGGCACTCAAGCACTTACCGCCTGGAGAGCACTCTCAACTATGGCATGGAGAGAGTGTGGTGTGTGTGCGGCCTCAGGGGCTCCAACAATGTGGCACTGGGCTACGATGAAGGCAGCATCATCATCAAGGTGAACGGAAGAGATAGTTATTTTTAAAAGTACTTTGATTGTAAATAAACTTAACTGTATAGACAATACTGCTAAAAAAAGGGGGGAAATAGTTGTGGAGAAAGTGGCTTAAGAGAGTTTATCTGTAAAAGACATCCAGATTAAATATATTATAGTTGTATCCAAACCTAAAATATTTGTGATCTGTCTCCCTCTGCTGTATAGGTGGGTCGGGAGGAGCCGGCTATGTCTATGGACACCAACGGAAAAATCATCTGGGCTAAACACAGTGAAGTACAGCAAGCTAACCTTAAAGCCATGGGTGATGCTGAGATCAAGGACGGTGAGAGGCTGCCTCTGGCTGTCAAAGACATGGGCAGCTGTGAGATTTACCCTCAAACCATCCAGCATAACCCCAACGGAAGGTACGCATACACTCACCCAGGCCCTCTGACTGGTTATTGTTATTTCACAAACATGTCACCATCTTCGTTAGCCAGATTAGAGGTGAATTTTCAATATGATATCTGTCAGTCATTTATGCATTTTTCTGTGCACCAGGTTTGTTGTGGTGTGTGGAGATGGAGAGTACATCATCTATACTGCCATGGCTTTGAGGAACAAGAGCTTCGGCTCA